GCTGGCGCACCAGTGATGATTCTGACGTCCCTGATGCATTACTTCTGTCTAACTGGTCCGTTCTGCTCCATGCAAACAGATCATGTGGAAGATGCTTGCCTGCTCAATCATATCGCGCCACTGCGACCACAATACGCAGACTTAGCAAAGTCGCGGACATGTCGAGGGGACCTTGCCGATACCTTCGAAACTGTGTTATTTGCTTTAAGACTGCTATTCACTCTTTCTACAACAGCTCAACGTCTCTCGAAGGCATATGAACAATCGCTTTTTCCTAAATCATAAAATAAGTAACCTTCAACGTTTGAAGCTCTTCATGCGCTTTTTTTCGTCTATTCTCTTCATGTTCCAGGCGGTCTCGAAGCGATTTCAATTGATGATCAAATTTAGATTTTACGGAATCCAATTCCTCTGCATGTGCAGCCTAAAACTTACAGCTTTTAAGCAAAATTTAGTCCTGTACCGTTTGAGTTCTGCTAAAAAGCAACACCAGAACAAAGGAATTAATTTTCCTTAACATCACTAGGCCATACTCACGAGCATGGCACAGCACTAAGTAGCACTATTGTGCAGAAGGTCGGGGATTCGACCTCACCAATACCAATCTGTCCGCAATTCATTTATTTGTTTAGATGTCAAATCGGTACTGACAATCAACCACCAAGCAATCCTCGAAAGAGGAAGCCATCAAAATCCTAGCCAAAGAACGGCTGCTGCTTGCACTTGCTACCATTTGGGCTACTTTTCGGCTGCCTCCATTTCACATAAAAAAAGTTGGTCAGAATAAGAAGAGGTCTTCATTAATTTATAACTTTTTTTGTTATAGCAACAAATCCGCAAAAAAATGACGTTAAATCCGAGGGATCAGTCCTTTCTTTAATTGACAGTGAAGAAAATAAATGTGAAAAAAGAGCCGAACACTCGGCACCACTAATTTATTGTTGTAATATTCATGAGCAAACAGCATGTTGGTTTTAATTCACCTGAAGCTCTTCAAGTTCGTTTTCCAAATCCTGTACTTCATCGGCAATCTCCTCACGCGATAACTGTTCCTGCAAAAATGAGGGAACTCGCATACAAGCATTAAACTTTGATTCATTAAGTGACAAATTAATACGGCACTCCACTGGAAGCTAGCCGGAATCGCGTGTCAGTAACAGTACTGCCTCTAAAAAAGTAGCGCGTGCTAATATGGAGACTGCAAGCGAGAACCGAAGGTAGCTATCTAAGGCTAAATTAGCCGGCACAACTCGACTGGTATGTAAGTGCATCACATAATCGAGAGCCTCATACTGGAAATGCGGGCGAATTTGCAGTAAGCAATGAAAAAGAACGAAAAAAGTAATTACCGTCAGCACTTCTTTTTCGTGAGTTTCGCGGTGTGTTCTTGTCAACATTTTACTTACCTGGAAGTAATGGGCTTTGTCCCAGAAGAGTGAAAATTGAGCCAAAAGTGATAAAAAGAAAATAAGAGCAAATCCATTCAAATTTCTCCCCTCGCCTTTCATTAGCATGTAAATTTCCATTAAAAGTTAGCTTCCTGGTCTCTCTGCGGCCACCATCAGCTTACATCCCTCCAACCCGAAGATTAGACTGAATGGAAAATTGTAATTTTACGATGGTGTATGCAACTCGTCTGTGATTCTCCATGCGCAAAATAAGTTTTTACGCACGCTAACACCCCTTGTGAATAGATATCAACATCTTTCATTCCATTTGTAAAATTGTCGTATCTTCCGCTGACGATAGTCGGACATGCTAGAAAGCTGAAACTCCACCAAAAACCCATAGTGCAAAATCGACGATCCAGCCACTGTTTCTTACTTCTCCCGCCCCCCTCCCCTCACCCTCGCTTAAACATCTCCCGAAAACCTTAAATTAAAAGACCAATAAGAACATTTTCAACATGAACGTACATGTCGAACTGTAAAGCAGTGAAAGCCCATACTGTTATCATTGGCACACGAAACATGTAAAAACTCATGATTAGAAGTGGCATTCCCGGTGTGGACAGTTATTTCTTTTCTAGCAGACGAATTC